AGGAGGAGGAAGAAGAAGAAGAAGAAGAAGAAGAAGAAGAAGAAGAAGAAGAAGAAGAAGAAGAAGAAGAAGAAGAAGAAGAAGAAGCCGCCACTGTACATGTTCCTGGGTCACAGAAAAAATTCTGCCTCTAATTTGCTTTTGAACTCAAGAGTCCAAAATTAATTCTTAGTGCAATTTCTCTTTGGCCAGGCTACCTTACAGATTACCTTTAGAGTTCTGATTTGTCAGACCCTGTAATCATGTAAGACAATTCTTTGATATAAATCTCTCTGTCTCTGTCTCTACACACACACACACACACACACACACACACGCATGCCTACATATACAGATATTTTCTCTGTCATACATGTACTGTACCTATACTATACTAAACACACACACACACACACACACACACATATACACATACACACATTCTTTTTCTATGTAGATTCTCCTACTCTGGAGAACTTTGATTAATATAAATGGTAATCATGCATCTATTGTATATGTAAATAACTAAACAAATTTATTAACATTGATAACCATATACTATTAAGTAGGAAACTATGTTGACAATTATTGCTGCCAGGCATCAGGTAAACTAATAAATATGGTACATACAGCCTATGGAAACACATCTCCAATGTTTTGCAAAATATGATAGCAATTAAAGTTGATGACGAGGGCCAGCCAACTAGCTCAGCAGTTTAAAGCACCTGCAAGCAGGCACAGGGGCTGGGGTTTGAACCCCAGGCCTGCCATGTCAGCCCCGCCCCTGGGGTGCACTGAGCCAGCATTTGAGACTGGGCATGGTGGCTCACGCCTGTAATCCCAGGTCTTGGCAGGCTGAAAACAGGCGGATCACTACAAGTCTGATCTAGTGGTGAGACCCTGAAAATCCTTTGTTTACCTGAGGCTGCTTACAGTGTAGACCCTTCCGTAAAATAAAAAAAAAATTTAAAAGAAGTAGATGACAGCCAGCACTGGAGGCACACCAGGCCATCGTCAAAGTCAGAACTCACCCACAGTAAGCAGTGCATTTGGAATCAGAAGTTGTCCCGAAGTCTGACTCCCTGATTAATCCTTAACGCTATACAGAAAACTGACTTGAGCTGATCCATAACCCTGGACAACTTCCACTGTGTAACCTAAATCAAAACGTCCAGGCTATGCCAAGACGCATCATGGATGGAATCAAAACGTAGCACTGACAACGGCAAGAAATGAAGCTTTTCTCCTGCAACCAGCACAAGGCTGTTATAAATCACTAGTAATTACCCTGGCACAAACACAAGATCATGGAAAATGAACTTCTACAGATTAAGCCAGAATAGAGTATCAACTTCACTCAGGGGCTAATTCCAAATGTAATGACTACAACATCATTTTTTTTTTTTACAAACCCTGAACTATTGCATTTGTACTGGAACCACTCATTTGTAAGCACCCTCAGGTAAACAAAGGGAATGCGCTGAGTCCAGACTGGCCAGAGCTCACAAGTGAAACCATGGTCTCCTGGGCTCTTCTTCTATGGGCAGTTCTGGCTTAGATTTGAGCAGGCTTGGCCAGAACCCTAGCTTGTACACTTCCTGTAATACCAGCTCATCATGTGGCCATCAGGGCTGGCAAGAGTCCAGAGATACTGTACCCCCGTAAGGCTCACCCACACCCACCAGCCCCATCATTCCTAGTCTTCACAGGTCTGGACTCTGAGAATCTTAAACACATCATGGAGAAGGAAACCAATTTGAAAGTTCATTTGCACCATAAGTACTTGATGAGCAAAAGGCATTCTGTACTCTCACCATGGGAAATAGCAGCCAGTGGCAAGAGATTTTTCCAGACCACCAAGCAGATGTGAGAGCTCCAACCACAGCCAGAAAACCTCTGCCCTCCCCACACACTGTGGGCCCCTGCTTTTCTATGGCCCCCCAATCTGTAGCTGCTCCTAAAGCAAAAGCACTGCTTCAGATTCACATAGCTGATTTCCAACAAGAATGCAGGTCAAGAGTCAACCTGCACTTTCCGAAGGGTAGGGAGCAGGAGATAGGGTCACCATGGTCCGTCTGGGGAAAGTTCCATTAATTTAAATCTTAGAGAGAACCTTAAAATGAACCGCTGTTAAATTACACTCGTCCAGGCTTTGAATAGGCATTCAAACTGCTTGGTAGTTGTGTTCTGCTGTACAGTAAGTGTATATTATTCCATATCCTTCATTTCCTGTGCTACATAATGGGGACCATTCTGGTATCAAAGGAAACGATGAATAATAATACTGAACATCTGGGTTATAAAACACAAACTTGCTCAACAGATTGACTGCTTCCTGTCAGCTTCCCAAGCTAACCGTGCAAGGGGGCTCATATGAATATGCATTCAGACTGCTGTGCATTCAGTCTCCATGGCGGCAGGGCACTAGGCCCAATGCTCGATGGGTTTCCCACTGATGGCACCCGGTGGCAATGTGGCCAGCCCTTGGGTGTGGCCCCAGATGGCACCAAAAGGCAGCCCTCCTGGTCTCTGTTTCC